AATTGGCTTGTTGCCCAGTTTTATAACTTGGCTCACTATCTCTCTCTTACTCCTACTATTTTCTTTCTCCCTCTCTCTTTCGCTCTCTCTCTCTCTTTCTCTCTCTCTCTTTCGCTCTCTCTGTCTCACTCTCTGACTCACTCTTACATAGAACCACACAAGCACGTACAAGCTAGTCTCCTACAACTCCTTCTTCCACCACCCCTTTCCTTCTACCTCCAGCATTGTTCCTAGATATCTATCTATCTATCTATCTTTCTATCTATCCATTTATCTATCTATCTATCTATCTATCTTTCTCTTTCTCTTTCTATTTCTATTTCTCTATTTCTCAAGCTACCCTCGACGTACACTCGACTCGACGGCTTTACGTCGAAATGACGTCGACGTACCCAAGACAAAGATGGATGTTCGACTAGCTTTTCCGCAGAGTCGCCAGAGCTTCGACCCTCTTTCAAGAAAAAAAAAAAAGGAAAAGAAAAAAATATATATATATATATATATATGTATACCTATAACATATAATGAAGCCAAATATTCGATCTTTCACCGACGTATTTGGTATGTGTTGACAAACGACCATGTGAATCTTGATATTCACCAATTTTGGTCTTTCATGGTAACATATATATATATAATATTCTAATCTATAAATTATATTATAGATGAGAGAAAAATCAATCGATCAGAAAGAACACTCGTTTGGTTTTGTTAAGAAAGTTTCTCTCTCTTATCGATTGATAGTAATTAGATTATCGAAGTTATAGACCTTTTTTTTCTTTTGGGAAAAGGGATTTTATTGAAATTGGAGTTTATGTTAACTCGTAAATAGGAACGAATAAAGATCGGAAGTTGTTGACGTGAGTAACAATAATCGTAGTTAACTTTGACGAGAAGTTTCTCCAAAATAATAGAACGAGCCCGTTCTTTCGTGAATGTGACTCACGTTTTCTAACTTTCCTCCTCCTTTTCCTCCTCCTCATTCTTCTCTTCTTCCTTCTCTTCTCTCGCTCGAGAAAACTTTTTTTTCCTTTTTTTTACGAAAATGCAACGAAGGAAGAATAAACGTCACTCTCGAGGATCTATGAACTCGGATCGGATCACGCGATAGTTGAACTGTACGATATTGTTTTGTTCTTTTTTTACTGTTTCATTTCGTTATTCTTATTTAAAATGATTAATGATATCGTTAATGATATTTAGATAAAAATTGAAAATTATTATTTTGATATGACAAACAAACACACACACATACACGATATTTGAAAATAATCGGTCGAATTTGATTTTACTACTTTTTTGTTTTGTTTTGTATGATTATTAAATGTAACGAATGATGATGATTATTATTATTATTATTATTATTTAAGAAAAAAGTAATCGTTAAACCTGAGGGATACGGATATATGCATTTACTGTATTAAATCCATGGTAATACAATCTTTCGAAAAACTTTGAAGTTGAGTGGAATATTCGTGTTGATAGGGGTCGGGGGTGGGAGACAAAGGGGATTCGTCGTTTATTTGATTATTATTGAAAAAGAAAAGAAAAGAAAAAAAAAAACACAACATATCCATGCTGAGATTCCAAATACGAGGCTTACGTGGCCAGTTTCTTGCGATTTCGGTCGTGTTTCGACCTAATGGTGATGACCCCGTTGGATTGCCATCTTATCTTGCCGTCGAGAAGAAGAAGAAGAAGAAGAAGTAGAAGAAGTAGAAGTAGAAGAAGTAGAAGAAGTAGAAGTAGAAATAGAAGAAGAAGAAGAAAAAGGAGAGGTAGAAAAAAAAGAAGAAGAAGAAGAAAAAGAAGAAGGAGAAGGAGAAGAAATAAAAGTAGAAGAAGAAGAAGAAGAAGAAGAAGAAGAAGAATCATCGAGGTTGAGCGATTCCAATATTTCTTGGTACGACGAACGAATCACGGATTGCGAAGTTAATCGACCGAAATCGCCAGAGACTGGCCCTAAAATTATTTACATACTTTGTTTTCTTGGATTTTTTTTTTTTATTTTTTTTTTTATATATATATTTTTTCGTTCATTTTGCTTTTTATATTTTCCTTTCATTTGTTTCTATTTTGTTCTTTTTTTTCGCCGTACAAAAGTATTTGATTACACAAGCAAACGATCGAAAGTTTTTTTTTTTTTTTTTTTTTTTTTTTTCTAGCCCTTTTCTTTTTTCTCGAAAGGACAAAATATAATGGACTCATTTTCAATGTTCTCGCGGGCCGTAAGCATATACTTTTTCCTTCGAAGTTTTCTTTTTTTGTTTTTGTTTTTTTTGTTTTTGTTTTTTTTGTTTTTGTTTTTTTTGTTTTTGTTTACGTAACACATCGATAAACAACAACACAGATGGAAAATATTAAAAATCGTATTTTATCAGATACGATTTAATCGTTCCGCTTTTTGGTAAGAAACATTTACGACAACGATTATTTAATTAGCGCATACGAGTATCATTGGCCCTTCTTCTTTGAGATAGACAATTCTTTATCCGATTAAATTCATATCTTTCTTTTCCCGTGATAAAAAAATGAAAAGAAATAAAAAAAATAAGAAAAGAAAAATAATTAATCGCGCGTTCAAACGGACAAGAAAAAAAAAAAAAAGAAAAAATAAACGTTTCATATACAATTCGCGAAAAACGATATATTTTATCCCTTTTAAATGTATAATCCACAAAAAGAAAAAGAATACTACTCAATACGATAATTCGCGAATCCCGACGATGATTGGTTGCGTGGAAAAAGATCCAGCCCTCCCCCAGCCCCCCCCCAAAAAAAAAAAAAAACAAAAATATATACACATACCGAATTCGAAATCGAGAATAATAATAGATATTGAAACGCAAACAAACTAACGAACAAACAAACAAACGAACAAACGAAAAAATATATAATAAAAATAAAAATAAATAAATAGAAGAAAATAGATAATACCACGATATATATATATATATATATATATTTTTCTGGGCGTGTTGTTATCGTCGTCGTCTTTGTCGTTTCTAAAGAATGGCCTTACCTGGAGGAACTGCCGATACTACTTATGCTGGCACCGTCAGCCGTTCGTCTCTGTTCCCTGGAGACGTCGCAATCCGTGATGTCGCACTCCGAAGTGTCGGAATCGCTTAATCTCGATGTTGTCGACGGCGGGCTAAGATGGCAATCCACCGGAGTTATCACCATATCCTCGGCCTCCTGATAATGCCTGCAGGATATCAAACTTCGCTTTAACAAGCGCGTACTCCTCCTTTTCTCGAATTATTTCCAAAAAAGGTCACACACTTGGCAGCCTCCAAATATAGGACAGGTATTCCGGTTTTAACGATTCCTCTCTCTCTCTCTCTCTCTCTCTTTTCTCTCTCTCTCTTTCTTTCTATCTTTCTCTCTCTCTCTCTCTCTCTCCCTGTCTCGGTCGCTCGCTTTTTCGATTTTGTTCTTAATCGATATCCTTGATATTCCTAGGCTCGATTACCCAACTCGATCGAGATCGTTTTTATATAACGCATTACGATATAAAACTCTACACTCTTCTTTTATTTATTGATTTATTTAATTTATATATTTTCCATACGTCTGGTTTTTCTATATATATATATATATACTTTTTTTCTTTTGTTATTTATTCAATAATATGCGCCTAAGTATTTCCACGAAATACGCGCACATATTATACGTAATGTACACATATCCCATTATAGGTTTAGTTTTTGTCTATCGCGTTCGTTGATAGATTTATTGAATATTTTTATATTATGTATTATATGTATATGGTAATAATAGTAATAAATATAATGTACTTACCGATGTTCCGCGTGTATCGTCAATGGATGCCATTCTATTTCGTCGTCCAATGGTGCAACAGCCAATTCTATGACGACCTCACCGAGAAAATCATTCGCGTCGTACCTCCCGTAATCCCAAACTGTTATCTCCAATGCCCTCTTTCTAAGCTCCGAACTTCTTATCCCGTTGTAAACGAATGTCTGATTCCATTTAGGATCGTTCGTGTTCGCCAATGTTTTCGTTCGTCTCTTTGACTTCTCGCTAATGCAAACGCAAATGCAAATAATAATAATATAGAATGTGTGATATATTATATACGGTACAAAAGTGTTACGATTTAATTTTGTATCATTTTATTTGTAACCTGTTCCCACCTATTACGATATAATTTCCCTAGTGTAGAAAATGAAAAATAATACGAGAACGTAGAATAGATTGATAAAATATAATACTGAGATTATAAAAAAATATAGGTTCCAGTTTTTCGTTTACGTTATATTATATTTGAACCGACGTATTTTCTGTGTATAAGTGAAAATGAGAAACAAAAATTTATTCTTTTTCAATTGTATTTTACATCCAAATACGACGTGTTCCATCAATGCTTCTCTTTCCTCCAATAACCAGAATAAGAAACTAATTTCTTCTTTCCTTCCATTTTTTTCTTTTTTTTTTTCTTTTTATTTTATTCTTTTCTTCCCAATGTGCGTCACGTTCCAAACCTTTTCGAGCGATAACTTAGAACAGGTATCGGGTGGGGTGGAGTGGTGGTGGGGGGGGGAGGAGGAGGGGTTGTACGCAGAAATTTGCTTAACCAGTTCCCCATTTAAACTTTCTCTCCTCGTATTCCCGAAGAAACCCGGAAGTTTACTTGAAAATTTATCCCCTTCTACCAACTTCCACCCCTTTGTTCCTTTTATAAAAGAAAAGAAAAGAAAAAAGAAAAGAGAGAGGCGGAAGGGAATAGAAGAGCAACGCTATATCGATAAAGAAAATGTTCTTTTTCCCACTGAAAAATTGGGTGAATAATATCGGTTCACCGTCGTAGAAAACGAATCCGCACTGCGTTGAAATTTCCTTCCTTCCTACTTTCTTTCCTTCTCTTTTCCTCTCCACTCATTACTTTGGTTTACTTTACTTTACATTTCTCCGTTAAAAGTAGGTTCCATGACCTTTTTATTAGCACACGAAATAATCCAAATCGCGTGATCGACCGACGTAACTTTTGCGCAACGTTGAACGAACATCGTTGAAAAAACTTTCGTTGAAACATAATCGCGTGTTATTTTTCTCTTTTTCTCTACTTTTCATTGTATTTTTTTTTTTTTTATATATATATAAATACGGGAAAGATAATAATACGCATACACCGACACACACGTATATAGATATATATCCAAAAAAAAAAAAAGAAAAAAAGCAACGATATAATAAATCTTTGGAAATATTAAATTTACTTCTACGCTAAATTACTCTACGAGTCGTGTTGCAACCGTGGAAAATTTATTCCAAGTTGTTGTTGCAAAAATGGGAAGAAGAAGAAGTTAAAAAGAAACAAAAAAAAAAACAACAACACACGCGTATACATAGACACAAGTTGATAAAAATTAGCCTTCACTCGCAAGACTTTTGGCTCGGTGGTGTTCTCTAACTGATATATCAATGTATGTATGTATGTGTGTGTGTGTGTATGTGTGCGTACGAAAACTTCGGTGAAAGGAGAGAAAATCCAAAAGATATGTATACACGTTTGGACGTGGAAAAAGAGTGAAAGAAAGAGATAGAGTTAATGGAAGGATTTGTAAAGTTAACGAAACGAGCAAAACTTCAGGGCCATTAGGCGTCGAGAGAAATCGTTGGCACTACGGCCAAGTTTTCTCGACGAAAGGGTTTTCCCTTTTCCCTGAGACCTTTCTCTCTCACTTTTTGGCTCAAATACCGGCGAGAAAACTGCTTCTTCGTCAAATTATTTATCTTACAAGACGATAGTCTCGACATTTTGGCGCCCACGAGCACAGATACCTACTTTCTACCTACCTACGCTATGTGATAACGTGAAAGAAGAAAAATGCTGATAATGTTTCATAGATCTTAATTTTATATTCAATTTTTTATGTACGTAGTATATTATTTTCAATGTTTCGAAGATTTTTTTATTACTATGGTCGAATAATATTTCAAATTAAAAAATGATTGTCTAAAGATATTAAATATCTGTCAAAAGAGTTATTTGATTAATAAAACAAAGTTATAATAAAAAAAAAATATTGTGCAAAATTTGTAGATGCCATAACTCGTAGTTGTATTACAATTTTAAAAAGATACACACCGTGGGTACTCGTTGAAATCGTATTGACATTCTTCCTACTAATATTTTATTAAACTAAAAAATATTGATTTCTATTTAACAAAAATTCCTATAATACTTGTATCCGAAATATATCAACGTCTATAAAATAACTTTGATACATATTAAATTCCTCTCTCAAAATTTAACAATTTTTTTTTGTATTATTAAATCAAGGTAATAAAAAATACTTGAATATACAATATATTGTTTAAAATGATATGTGTGTATATGTAATTATATGAATTCCATTTAATTTCTTACAAAAGCTTATCGTGTAACTCTTTATAAATTCAATTAGAAGTTAATCATATATTCTAATGTAAGATTTCATAGAAAATTTAATTGGATGGTAATTGCTAACAGTAATTGTCGACATTTAAACGAGAGAAGCTAATTTCTCTCTAATCGTTCACTCTGGAATTCAACAACGTAAGGCTACAACGTTCCTACTGAAATGTTCTCTCTCGTTGGGATGCTTGCCAATGACCTATGTATGTATGTATATATATATATATATGTATCCTATGTAAAATATGTATATACGTATGTTGGTTAGATAAACTTTATGCGACACTTTCATCAAATTGCAGACAGCCTGGAACGATCCTGGAGTAAAGTTACCCAGTAACTGTCGTACGAAGGCCACGGGGACACGTTGTCTCAACAATGTTACGAAATATTCTTTCAACCAATTATCTTCCTTCAACCGCGAATCTATCTTTTCCTTCTTTTAATCTAATTATTACTTATTTTTTCATTTTCTTCTTCTTCTTCTTCTTTATGTAACATTTATTAAAACGACAATCCTGACACGAGAATAATAATCCCACGACGTATATTAATTTATCACGAACATCATATCAAACAAAATTATTCGCGAGACACAAACGATTATTATATTTCATATATATATATATATTCCTTTTATACATCTCATTTTTATTTATCATTTACTTCGCGTAGAATACCAAACAACGCTGCGAACTTTCATTTCAAATTTGTCAAACTGTTTCCCAAAAAAGGGTATCGGATATTTGTTGATATTGATTAATAACTTGAAAAAAAAGAATATAGGACTTACCTTCTATCAGGAAGTAGGAAGATCTTGGCGTAAGGATTTCTCGGTTGACCATCAGGACGTGGGCTAAGAGCCGATGCGCAAATGACAGTGACCAATAGTTGAAGTGCTACAGGATCGAAGGCTAACTTCACTTGAAGATCACCACCGACGTTGACGTTTCCTGTCGTTGCTCTACGTCCATGCCTGACACGTCCTTGAGCGTTTAGGTCCGGTGAACCAGGTGACGTCACTAAAACCGACGGTTTCTCGCGCCTCGCGTCGTACAACTCTGCAAGTGATATCGTATTGTCCCGACAATGCCTTTAATTCACATTGTTTGTATTCACCAAATTTACAAACAACGATGATTTAACGATTGATTTATAGGGTGAGAAACAGAGAGAGAAGGTTTTATATCAAAAAACATGACTGAAAGGGTTACAGAAGGCATTGGGTACGAGAGGGGGGGGGGAGGTGCTTAATATTTTGTCATTGGGTTGGTTAAAAAATTCATGCCGATATATCTTTTTATTCAACAAGAAAATCGGCAAGAACTTTTTCAAGACAATTTAACAAAAATTAATTGTAACCGATTTTATAATGAACAATTGTATTATACGCACGATTAAAAAAGTCCCATTAAGTTTGTTTCGTTATTATATTCGTATATCACTTTATACATTAAAAATATGAATTGGCACGAATTATTTGAACAACCCAATATATTCAAACAATATCTTTATGTTTAAGCCTAAAAATTACAATATATATATATATATATATATATAAAAGGATACATAAAGGATAAATTAGAAATGATTGCAATGATTCGATATGAATAATATATTTCATGTTAACAAATACGATACCTAGGTATGTATGTAGGTTCAAAGCGATATGTTAATTTATTATCGATAGTGTCCATCCAGGTAGCATAGAGTATATAAAGCCAATAAGAGTGAGAAAGAGAGAGAAAGAGAAAGACAGAGAGAGAGAGAGAGAGAGAGAGAGAGAGAGAGAGAGAGAGAGAGAGAGAGANATATTTCGCCTCGGTATCCATTTTTCCTCTACCGAGACTTCGATATCTTTCGTTCTTGGTTTGCTTCATCCCTCCTCCTATTCTTTATCCTTCTAAGAGAGAGAGAGAGATAGGGAAAGAAAGAGAGAGAGAGAGAGAGAGAGAGAGAGAGAGAGAGAGAGAGAGAGAGAGGGAGAATGAGGGAGAATATAACGGGGGGAACTCACGCGAACGATAATAATTTGTACCCCTAGAATGTTCGATCGTATCGCTCGTAATTTAATTAAAAGACTCTTCTGTGCGAATACGGAAGATAGGACAACAACAACGAGATGATCCACGCGAGAGGAGATTATATTTTGCTCGTAAAACGAAACACTTCTCTCTCCCTCTCTCTCTCACCCACACACACTCACTCACTCTCACTTTCACTCTCACTCATTCTATCTCTCTCTCTCTCTCTCTCTCTCTCTCTCTTTCTCGTACGTTTCAATAAAGCTAATCCACGACGCGTTCTCATCATCGAATCACTGCACGGGAAATTTGATGAGATTAATGAAACATCGTTCCGCTCAGCAAGAGAGAGAGAGAGAGAACGCGTTTTTTATTTTCATATTTTTTTGTTTTATTTATATTTTGTTTCATTCCCTCAGAGCGCACGATGCAAAATTATTATAATGTTTATTTATTTATCTTTCATTTGTAAAGTAAATGTCTGATATATTTTTATAGACGCGGTATCTTTTTATAGACCTCTTATCGTTTTATTATTATTATTATTATTATTATTATTAATTATTAATCCTTTGTATTTTCGAACGTACCAGCAACTCGATTTTACGCATATTTCATGAATTTCTTACAGCTATTTTCAAATGATATTTCACACATGGTATTAAATATTTGAAATTTTGTATATTTCAAGGAAAAACACTTGTTCAATATTAAGCAATCTCCAAGATGCATTCTCAGCTTGTCAGTACAAGTATTACAGTAATATGTAGTTTGATGTCTTGTGTCAGACTTAAATTCGTTCTGAGAAAACTTTGCAATCCTTCTTAACTGATGTTAGTATAGCAAGTAACTTTTTATTATTATTAATAATAATAATAATAATAATAATTGTTATATGAGATAATGGTGATAGAATTCTTTCGATAAAATAGATCAAAGCCTACGAACACATTAGGGATCGTTTATTACGAAAGCAAGTATATTCATTTTCTTTTTTTTTTTTTAAATCGAAAGAACACATAATTTTTTCATTAACTATTAATAAAACATCAAAATTATGTGTAATTTTTTTAATTTGAAAAAAAGAAAAAAAGCAAAAATGAATTATAACGTCACTTTCATAATAAAAATTGTTCATTATTATATAACATATGTATATAAATAATATATATACAGGGTATTTCATAATATATGGAACCAACTTTCAAACGTGGACAGGGGATTGAAAAATAATGAAAAAAGTTCATAGAAACGCGTGTCCTGATTTCCTTGTTTCGAAGTAATGTAATAGCTAGTTTTGTGTTCCAATAATCTAGTTAATTTTCACAGGTGCTCAAAATTACCATCCTCTGTTTATTATCCAATCTTGCAGTCATTGTATCATCAAATTTCATAATTTTCACAAAATTTCAGATATCATTCGAGTATACTTGTTCGAATTTTTTCAATGCTAACCAATTGGTATAAATTATGCAATAATTTTCAAATATATCCACGAAAATACAAATCTAATAACGCATTGGTAATAATTTGAACACGATACAAATAGAAAATAATGAAGTGCTATTAGTAAGAGAACCGATTAAACTGTAATGACTAAATTTAATTAACTTAATGTACGACATGAAATAGGACAAGAAATATCCGCAAGAGACAAAGCACCATTTAGAAATACAAACCGAGGATGATCTGTGAAGATAAGCTATCTGGGGATTATCGAAACATAAAGGTGACTATAAGCTTTGGAACAAGATCAAATAGGTCAAACATAGTTCTATGAACTTTTTTCATGATTTTTTATGTAAAATTAGAACTCATATTTTACGAAGCACCCTGTGTATATATATACATACATACATATAATATTACATATATGTATTATTAGTGGATGTATTTACATACAAATAGGGGCTGGGGGTGTACGGTGATAAATAGAATTGTTATTAAAAAAAAAAACCCCAAAAAAAAAATTATATACATTCCTCGGGTTAATATCGATGATATAATGTGCCGGTAATCATCACTGTGAAATAAGTCAACAAATAATTTTAATATAAAATAAATCATAAGATTTATTTTTGTTTACCATTTATTGACTTACAAGGGAAAAGACGAAGTTTACACAGGACACTGATTTTTTTCTTTCTTTTTTTAAATTCCACACAGTTGTAGGAGTCCATCAGAACCATACACTGTGCAAGCAATAAGATTAAATACTTAACTTTTTCGAAGATAACGAAGGGAGCAGTGTGTCATATGCATTCTTATTAATATATCAATTCTTTTCAAATGGAAATATAAATTTTGTACGAATTAATTCATTAGAAAAAGAGAAATTTTATAAAACATATACATGGATGAGTTGAAAAGTTTTGAGCTTTGTGGTTTTCCACAACGGTATTAGCCACAAAACTGTTCAACCCATTCATGTAGATACTTTCTATAATTTCTTTTCTTTGAGAGGAAATTTAATTGTAAAAAATTTACATTCTCATCTCTAACATAAAACGAATTGTTATATAATAATGCATCGAAAAATTGTTTTCCTTTGCTCTCTTGGAAATAGTTGAGTGTTTAATCTTATCGTTTGTACAGTGATATGATGATTCTGATGGACACCTGTAATTGTAGAAAATTTCAAAAAAAATTAATATCCTGTCGACTTTAGGACTTTTTTCTTGTTAGTCCACTGTCATAATTATCAACACAATTATATAAGTAATATGTACATAATACATAGGTAAATAGATATATATATATATATAATATATATAAACATATATCTATATATATATATATATATTAAAAATATATTTATATTTAATCAGTGGAGATAGACAAGCACGGAACGGCAAAATATTACTGCATAGAAATACTTAATATTTAAGTATCGTCACATATATATACGGATAGATAAATATATATATATATACGTATAAAGTTTAAAAAATGTTGTTGCTCCCATAAGAACTAAGTCCTTGTTAAAAGGACGGGTGTAAAGTACTTCAGCAAGGGGAGAAGGTTTATTTTTAAAAGAGAACAGAGTGATTTGGGTCGAGGAAGAATAAAGGTTTTGGGAATTGTAGAAAAATTGGAAAGAGAGGTGCATCAGCACTACGATCTACACTCTACGATAAAACACATCGATAATATAATACACAAAGCGGAGATCGAACTGTCAATCATCATACGTTTTCAGATTCATTTTTTTGTAAATGTTCTTCTTTCTTTTCTTTTTTACAAATTCGATCAATTCTTATTCGAAAGGATTGTAAGGGAGTGATAGAAAAAAAAAAATAGAAAAAAAGAAAGAGGAGATTACAGTAACGTAATAAAATAAAGGGAAACAAATTCGCGAGAGGTTTAGGGTTGTTGGTCGTGGTTCGTTTGTTTGTTATTTTTTTTTTTTTTTTTTTTTTTAAGAAAGAAATTTAAAGCCTACCCCATAGAATACATTTCTTAAGACCTGGAATGCGAAAAATCATATAATCTGTGATAATATAGCGCCGTGTCTAATATAAGCTTAAATACACTTACAATCTATTGTTTTTAAAGATATATATATATATATATAAAATAAAAAAAAAAAACAAAGAAAATATATATGTAACAAATGTGAGAAAGATTTTTGTTCTATCTGTATATAAGATACTTGTGTATGTAGACGTGTGTATGTGTATAAATATTCGACTTACACAATAATATAATAATAATAATAATGTATATTAATAATCTATATATGGAAACTCGACATCGAACTATTTCAACGTTACTTTCTACTTAATTTGTGTCACCACTACGACACCACTACATACTTAGTTTCTTAATTACGCAGACAAATTTTATAAGCGTAACGTGTAACGTTTAATTATCATCTAAGTCTTCGAGAACGTTAAAAAAAAAGAAAAACAATGATTTGAAAAATAATTAAACAAATATATTATTGAAGAACGTTCTCGAATGACTCGTGAAATATAAAGGGACGATTAAAAGTTTCTTAAAAAGTTCTACTCTCTAATTAGAAAAAGATAAAATTAATTTTATTATATTAAATTTTTCTCTTAAGTATATTTCCTTTTATTTTCTTTTCAAAGTTTATTCAATGTCACTTTTGTATGCAACAATTAATCTCAAATTAAAAAAAAAAAAAAAAGAAATAAAAAGAAACAATCCAATTGATTGAATTAATCGTTCGACGTTGAATAAACTCGTGACAAAAAAATTGCATATGTTTTTATTTTTCTTATTTTATATACTATATATATATATATATTATTATATTATATATATATTTTCTAAAATATTTGAAGATTCATAGTCACCTTTATGATGTGGTTGTTGAGGACTGGAAATGGAGTCCTGTTTTGTTCTCCATTGGGTTTGCGAAGTAATTCGTCTGGACGGGACGGACATCGACGTAACCGGTAATCTTTGTTGATGTAATTGTTGTTGTTGCAATTGTTTTTGTTGTTGCTGTTGTTGTCCTACCATAATCGTCGAAGTCGTCATTGTCGTAGTACTAGGTGCCAAAGCAGCCGATAAATTTCGCGAAACTATCAATTCAACTTGAGACTCCTGTCTCGATTCCGCGATAATTTCGTATACGTCCTTGAAGCTCCTACCCTGAAGAGATCTGTTATTCCATTCGAGTACCTCGTCACCTGTAACAATTGGAAAAATTTCCGATCTCCGAATTTGCTGTCCCTTTGCCCATTTTCAATCGATTCGTATTCCGTTCATTCGTTTCCAAACAAAACCACCCCAAAATTTAATAAATTCTAACATATTAAGTTATATAATATTTAAATAAATATTCAATTAAATTTTATATACCAAATGATTTTAAATATAACAGCTCTAAAGTGTTAATAATTAAAAAACAAAAAAAAAATTGTGCACTCGAGAACTGATACCCGCTCGTAAAAATGCAAATAATTTCATTGATATATTATACTTCTTTTTTTTATATATATATATATTTAAATTCTACTATATAAAATATTTAAATAAAATATTTAAAAAAAATAAATTGTTATTTATAATTATTATTATTAAATAAAATCTTACCGGGTCTTAAGTGACCATCAACATCTGCTGTACTACCCTTCTTGACTTTTTCGATAACTGCACCCCTAGAACCATCCTCTAATAGTATCCCACCGACGACCTTGAGACCGAGTATACTTGTACCGGTTTCAGAACCCAAGGACTTTCGTAAGACCATGTGTCCGATTACTTTCTGACCGTCTCTGCTTACTTGCCAGGACAAAGGATGCTAGACAACCCGGAGAATCGTTTTGTTTTTCCATCTAATATCTGCCTTTTTATATTTACTATAATATATTATAAATACTTTTTTTTGTATATACGAAACGACGTTACGTGTAAAATTACTAAAATATTTATCACCAATATTTACTTTAATATTCAATTATTTTAACATTCATATGCATATATATATATTGTTAAAAGATTTTTTATTTTAGGAATGAGACACGTTGAACGTCGTTTTGGCTAATTGTTTTGTTTAATTAAAAGTGATCGTGAGTATTAAATTAGCGTGTAACGTTGTACTAAGAGAAACGTCCTGTTAGATTTGATATTCAATGATTATTAAAAAATGACAAGGAAAAAAAAAATCGTTTTATTCGAAGCTTAGAAAATATTTTTCAAAGTTCTGTGGATAAAATAGATGAAAAGTATTTTTCAGATAATATTACAAATTATTAACCCTTTCGCAACATTTTCTTTTTTTTTAGGATTATCTTGTTTCCAATTGTAACATTGCGTGACTAAATAATGTTGACCCACTTTACATATTTTAATAATATTGATACGTGTTTAAATAAAACAAGACGTTACTCTGCACATTGAAAAGCTGTGATAAAGTTTTGATAGTGGAAAAGAGTTCGTGTGTGTAAAACATGCATATATTATAAGTACACTAATTAAAACAATTCAAGCGTAAGAAAATTACAAACGTCATACGTATCAATAATAACTAAAACAAAAAAGAAAATATAAATAAAAAAGCATACGTGCATAAACATACTTCCGAATTATTTGTTTATCCAACGAAAAATAAATATAAAGAGCAAAGCTGCAAGCATCGAAAAATCGATTTCCTTTCGAATACACACACGCACAAACACACGCGCGCGCGCGCATACACAATGCTGAACGTTTATAAATATCTACAAAGGACACATGACACACGCACACACATGATAGCATAAAAATGCTTAAGCAATAAGTGTGCTAATAACAATAAGTGTTAAAAGCAAAACGTACGATTAAAAGCACGGCATGAAAAAAAATGATTAATATTAATGCAATGTGTTCGATCATGTTACATGTAATTGAAAAAGATAGTATAAAAAATGGTAACTATCCCCATTCCTATAAAAAGTCAAATAGTAAAATAAATAAAAAAAGAAAAAAAAAAAGAACAAAACTTTATGCGAGCTTTGTTAAAAACAATTGAATTCGATTCGAATCGTATGAAATATAATTTCGACGAGGAGTGTTTAAATATTCGTTCGATCGATTTATAATCAAACCTATCGTTGATTTTGATTTTATTTATCTAATATTAATGTTTGATCGATAGTACTCTCGAATATATAAATTAAAACAAAGTTAGGTGGAAATATGGGAAAAATACGAAACGACGTAGTGGTTGTTGTCGATCGGAGGAATGATTTAAAATAAACAAAATACGACACTCGAATAAAACTTTGATAATAATCCTAATCATCGTGAAAGCTAAGCATATTTATATATATATTTATATATATACGGATATAAAAATACTTTTAGAAGAAGATTTTTCTATGACGAAAAAAAAAAGAAGATTACGAAGAAGAAGAAGAAGAAGAAGAAGTAAAAGAAAATGAAGGAAAGTTGAAAAGATGTTTGGTCGAATCATCCAATTAATATAGATTGATATGTGTATTAAACACATACGTACACACATACAGAGGGATACAGATACACACACACACACATTCATATTTATATATATATATATATAAAATACAAACATATATAAAGATATCAAGAGAATTTTCTTCTTGAAAGGGTCGACGAACCGTGAAAGAAGAGTCGAGATAGAAAACTGAGCTTTAATCTCGTAGAAAAGCACGGCTGCCGTCAGCGTAAGTAGTACACATCGAATGTATATATACTTCCTCTTATACACACACATACTAGTTAATGCATACACAAGTGGATAGGTAGATAGATAGATAGGTAGATAGGAAGGTAGATAGATAGAGACAAATACAAATTGAGATGTAGATATAAGAGTGTGTATGATTTTGTTTTTTTTTTTGTTTTTTTTTCTAATATTCAGATCCTCCACGTGACAACAATATTTTTGCATCGAATATGAATTAGGGAACACTCGACTATTTTTTTTTTCCTTTTTCTCTCTCCGCATTCCTAGTTTTATTTTGTCTTTTCATTTTTTTTTATTATTTTTGTGTGTTGTTTTTTTCTAAATATCATTTTATTCCATTCTTTTTATTTACATAAGCTATGACTTTTTATCGATACTGTTGATTCGATTTATCTCGTAACGAAAGAATTCTTACGATTTAAATGACTTTTTCTTCTTCTTCTTCTTCTTTATTTTGTTTTCCCCTTTTTTTTATACGATTGAAAGTAACAAAATACAATGGGAGTTAATACGAACGTAAATTTTCGTTGTGCGTATCGAAATCAACGACAGTTAACGAGAACCCTCTTCTCCTACTACGCTTTCGAAATATACTTTGGAATGGTTCCAATTCGATTAATTATGAAACTGGAACGCTTCTCGAGGGAGTTTCGGATACCTACCACCATAACCACCCCTCCCCTCCCCTTCACCCCCAGCCACCTCTCGCGACACTTTTAATTGGAAATCGGCGGTGTGTTCTTCGATGAAGTTACACCATAACTTAACGACGAGATGAATCCTTCACTTTTCCAAATCTTTCGTTAATACGTCAAACCAAAAATCGAGAGTAAAATTGAAGAAAATTAAGAAAGAAGAAAAAAGAGAGAGAGAGAGAAAGAAGAGGGGTAGGGGGTATAATTGAATGTCATTTTAGTAGGAAAACAAACGATCAATATCAAATCGTTTACAGTAATTTTCTCACGAACTATCGTACAAATTGCTTTTTTTTTTGTTTTTTAATCAACGAATACGCGATCGATTGTAAAATTTAATAAAAATATTATTTTAAATCAATGATCACACACACACACACACACACACGATTTTTATCATGTATATGTATTGTAGAAAGAAGAGGAAAAAAAACCAAAGTGAACATTTGTTCGCGAGCTTTTTTGAATAATAATAATAATAATATGAATGACGTCAAGATGTAGGAGGACGAAAATGTTCATGGGTTTTATATATACGATGGTAAAATGATACTCCACCTTCTCTCTTCTCTCTCTCTCTCTCTCTCTCGTGAGAAATTCTACTCTTTTGACTCCCTTTGATCACTTTGCAACGCGATATCGATCATTACGTCTTTCCTACGTTAATAAACGAAGTGTGCTTAATTTGCAAAGAGTGCTGCTCGCCTATACGCTTTAACTATAAGTGGACTATAGTTTTTGACGAAGTTGAGAAAAAGGAACGAGACATTTTTTTTTTTTTT